ACACACACACGTGGTTACGTTTAGCCAACACACACACACGTGTGATTACGTTTAGCCAACACACACACACGTGGTTACGTTTAGCCAACACACACACACACGTGGTTACGTTTAGCCAACACACACACACGTGGTTACGTTTAGCCAACACACACACACATGTGGTTAGGGTTTAGGAAAAAAGAACAGGGTTTGGCTTTACAATCTTACAGGACGTGAACACCGGCCTCCCGAGTGAGAGAAGGAGGTCCCACTCTTCTCAGATGTCCGCCATCTTAATTTTCATTGCTGTCCCGGCGCATTTCCCCCAAGCTGTTGGTCGCCATTATTGCCGCGTATCATGCCGACATGAAAGGGTGGCTTTCTTTTGTTTGCCTGATGCTGTAAGTCACTGACCAAGACTTCAGTGTGAGACCAAGTTGTGACAAACAGTAACCAACAATTCCTGCATGGTATATATTTAAGAGAGCTTTTTTATTTCATTTAGGTTCTGATGAAAGTGATATGTAGACTCTGTGGTAAAATATACCAGTGATCAGAATGAAACCAAAGATTCCAACGGCTCACAGAGTCTCAGCTCGAACAGAAACGTCAGCGTTCCTTCAGGTTGGATGTTGTCATGTGAACAGACACCATCAAATCTTTAACCAGGGAGGCTGTTTAAAATCAGGAGTGGATTACACTCTGCTCCCTCTTGGCTCCAGAAGAATGACGCATTGTGTACTTGTTATTTTCCCAGTAAGAGGACCTTCTGAACAAGTGGACAGGGCCATTACCGCAGGAACGCAGCACATCTGCGAAGCACTCCGACAACTGATTATACACACTCCGCCTCGCTCCTCTGTTTATCAAGGTTTATCACAAACCCGTCCTGTACTTTTGTCACACAGGAAATACACAGGAGGGTTTTAAAGCCTGCCACCCACTCCCCAGAGTCCAGCTGTGTTATTACATCCATTGTACACATGCAGTCGTGCACACGTACACAAACGTGCACTCTAAACTCTGCTTTTTGTTCCTATCTCTGCCGCAGATGCTTGATAGATCACTTATTTCTCATGATTCCCACAAACTGCATCACTGATTCATTCTGATGAGGAAATCATCACCTGACTTTGATTTAGTTTAACATCATATAAATGCAGGAAGTCTTTGGTCAAACACAAGACGCCTCTTGAGTCAGAAACACAAACCCAGCTCAGAAGCAGCAATTTGTTAGCGTTGCTCAGGAGGAGGATTTACATTCAGAGACCCTCCAGCTCAGCAGAGCTCTGCGTCGGACACTGGAGGTCTTCACAACATTTCATGAACAACCGCTACGCTCAGCGCTGCCTGAATGGCTATCTGTGTGAGGCAGTTAGTATCAACACGGCTACTTTAGAGCTGAATGCATCCATCACACTCGTCAGGCCGACACAGTGGAGCTCTGTGTGTCGAGTGTTCCAGGTCTAACAGCACACTGCTCCTTCTTATAGTCCTCAGCCTGCCGCTGATATAGACCCTGTGAACTGTGGAGGACAGAGAAGCCTCCTGAGCGCCGAGTCCAGTGACAAATACAAGTTTCAGACCTTCAGCTGTGTGTGTGTGTGTGTGTGTGTGTGTGTGTGTGTGTGTGTGTGTGTGTGTGTGTTAAAAGGTTGGATTAAACTGATCTTCACACAGACTTTGTGTCCTGACACGTCCAGAAGGTGACGAGTTCTCTAAGATAACAAACTGATGTCACAGTTCATAAAACATGAAGACAAACAGCCTAGAAAATTCTTCCAGTAACAGAAATACGCTGCTGATAATTATCAAAGAGCTCATTTACAAACTTCTGTTTTCATCTGAATCATTTGATCACTGATTATTTCCTCCCATTATATTACATTCAACACAAACACTGATACGTTTCCTCAGGGGAAAATAAAAAACAGTTATAGGGTCACCCCCGACCCACCAGTGCTCCAGAAGCACAACATTAAAGGTACAGTTCACCCCAAAACCAACAGCGTTCATTGTTGTTTCTGCTGCACTGCACCGAACAACTGAATCATGGTGCAGAAGGAAGCATCTTGTGCTCGCTCCTCGAGCAGCCAGAGGCGTCGAAATGTTTGCAGCTTCTTATTTTGAAGTAATTAGTGTTGTAACTAAACTAAATTTGGCTGAATTAAATCAGCTGAGAGACTGAACTTGATTTTTTTAAAAACAGTGCAGGCCCCTGTCATCCCTCTTACAACAGGCGCACGGTGGTGATGGGACACAGAGATGGTTTACAGGTCAGGACCCAGAATATGATTCTTACTCTCGCTAACAGCACTGAGCAAGCTAACGTTACAGCTCAGCCAATGAGGATGCCGTTTACATCTCAACCCCAAACATCATTAGTAGATGCCCGCTCCCCTCTGTGCAGTGATACAGTTGGTGGGTGTAGTTTGGTAGAGGAGGAGGAGGAGGAGGAGGAGGAGGAATATGTGATTTGATTTTGGGGTGAACTGTCCCTTTAATGTCAAACGCACCTGTTGAATATAAACCTGTGAAAGCTCACCGAGGATCTTGCTGATGTTGGAGTTGTGCATGTCGGGGAAGGTCTGCAGGATCTTCCTCCTCTCGTCTTTGGCCCACACCATGAAGGCGTTCATGGGTCTCTTGATGTGAGGCTCGGCGTTGTTCCTGCCCCGCGCCTCCCTGAACACTCGCGCCTCTGTGATGTTACTTCCTGTGTGACACAGAGGAAAACAGTTCTCTGTGTGATGATGCGTGTGATGGCAGTCTGGATGAGATGCCCTCAGCACACTCACACAAACACACCATGGTCAGTTAGCTTCCTCCTGATAGGATGTGAGCGTCGCTGCTCCTGTGTTTACTCCTCTGACTGTAAACTAACCCACAACGAGCCGTCCGCAGCTCCTCGCCGCCTGTAAACACCACAGCTTTATGAGGAACAGGTGGGCCGACGGCGTTTAACATCCAGTCGCTCACGCTGCGTTGACACAAGGTGTTTCATTTATTTAAAAAAGCTCATCTATTCATTTTAACGTTTAGCTCTGACACGCTTTGGCTCTTTGAAATCTTGGATCTGACTTGATTTTATGATTTTACAGTTCTATGATTTGATGATGTCATGATGTTTTTCATCTTATGATTTTAAAAAAAGGTTTCAGACTTGTGGTTTTGCTCTGATCAGTGGGTGACTGATGAGTTCTGTTCCATCCACAGTGTCACAGCTGTGGGCCGTACGCGGCACAGACGATGCCTGCAGTGAGAAGGTGTTCTCTTATTTCAGTGAGTCAGTGTCTGTTGGGACTTCAAGGCTCTGACAGTTAAAGATGTCAGAGGAGGTGACACAGGAAGAAACACTATGAAAGTTGGATCAACAGAATCTCAGATCACTTTGAAATGAATCAGCTAATTCTTGTTTTAAACTCTTTCTGAATGTGCTTTTATATTGAATGAATGTTTTAGGTTCACTGTAGAGGCCGCTGAGCTGCACTCCCTGTATGAAAAGAGTGAGCTGTATAATAAAGTTTATTATTATCATTATTAGTGTAACAGTACCTGCTGACTGCAGGCGACACACAGGATGTTAAGTGTCTCGCTTTTACTCATTAATATTTTTTACAAATGATCTTCACAGTAAACTTTATTGAGCATTAAAGGGAAAGTTATAGTGGTGCTGAACTGATCCACAGTCAGTGTGTGTTCTCCAGCAGACGTCAGGTTAGAGAAGCAGTGGGAGCTCTGCTGAAGAAGCTCATCAACGCACTGCTGTGGACGGAGGCAGCAGTTAGTTCACCTGAATGTCAGTTTAGGTTTTCACTGCTTCACCTTTCTGTCACACAGACAGATCCAATGTGGCCTCAGCTGCCATGTGAGCTCTTGTCAAAGCACAGAGTTTAACATGAGTGAACACGGAGCTGCTGCCCGACTGCTGCCTCCATCAGTGAGTGTGTCTGCGTGACTTTGGTGAATCTGAATTAACCCTATAAACGTCCCACAGACACACAGACTGATGGAGGCAGCAGTCGAGCAGCAGCTCCGTGTTCACTCATGTTAAATCACTGTTTCTCTCGAGCGACGCAACAGCTTCAGTTCAGTTCTCCACCAGAGATCAGCGTCTGACATTAAAGTAAAGCTGTGAAAACACTGTCAGTATAACGACTCTCACACTGACACTGATTGTTTCATGTGGGACTTTTCTGCACTAGTGATAATACGTCTTGTTGCTGACTCCGCCCACAGCAGTACGTTGATTAGCTTCCCAGCCGGTGTGGTATCCAGCACACCCCGACTGTTAGAGATATGAACCGTCCCTTTAACGGACTCGTCTTCGCCTGCTGCTGTTTGCAGACGTGTCCTGGGTGGGATTTCATGTCATGAGTTGTGAGCAGCGTGTGGTGCTCCTGCAGGAATAATAACAGTGTCAGGTTTTTAAGAGATGTTGATGTTAAAGAGTCTGTTTAGCTGTTTCAGTGTCCTCCAGCAAAGCTTCCTGAGGAGCACAATAAATATTTGTGTTCCCTGAATACCTGCATGTTGTGCAGCTCTGGAAGACGCCTTCGTCTTTATTGTGGATTTTCTGAGATGGCGGACCACGAGAGGCACCAGAGGCAGGGCCTCTTCTGTGAGGGGCCCCGGGTTCAGGGTCACTGCTATCAATTTAGTCTGAACAGGATGTGACTGCCTCTAAGTCAAACCTCAGCAGCTCCTTCCTCCTTCACCCCACCCCCCTCCAGCCACGTCTCTGTGCTTCTGAGTTACCCACATTATACTGGAGGCAACTAAACATGAGGAGTGCAACACGTTGAACAAACCACCAGAGGAGTGAATCAAAGGTGCTGTTACCATCCAGATCTTCTGGTCTCGTCAGGTCGATAACTCGATGGACCATCTTCCCAGCATCGTCCCCAAGCTTCCCCAGGTGCTGGCTCAGAGTCTCGTAGTGCAGCCGCTCCTGAAACACAGGAAATATCAAAGGTTCTTTAATGAATGTGAGAAACGTGACGCCAGCTGCCAAAACTAAAGCCCTAAGCACTAAGCCCTGTGTGTGAGCCTGGCACCTCTCAGTTGGGTCACGGGGGAAGACTGTGATGGTCATGACAATAAAACTAACTGCTGGGTTGAGCTGAGAGACAAAAAATAAAAGAAAGACACAGGCTGTTTATTTTAATGCAGTTTTTTATTGAGGGAAATGAGTCATGATGTTGGTTCTATGATAAGTTAAGAGACAAGTCAGAGCTCCTTCAGGCCTACGCTAATCAACCTCCCATCATCATCATCATCATCATCATCATCATCCTCATCCTCTTGCCTTCTGCCTGCCACTCCACTTCTGAGACACATAACGTCTGCGAGCAGCCCGCCTCGGGGCCTTCCAGCTAAAATTACCCCACCACGCTCCCAAACTGTGGTGGAAAACATCGAACCCTCCGTGGAGCTACCGCACAGCTACGCTCCTCCTCTCCCTCCCCCTCTCCCTCCCTCCTTCCTCCTCCCTCTCGGCTCTCCTCCTTTTTCTGGTGACAGAGGCATTTTGTTTGACGCAAGGAATGGTTGCCGGGTGAAGTCATGCCGCGGTAGCCGCTGGCAGAGTTGGTGGAACTTAGGGGCCGGTGTGTATGTGTGCGTATGTGTGTGTGTGTTTATAGATGAGGAGTCGGCGCGGGCCAATGTCAGCACTACGGCAGGGCTGTAATCAGGCCCACCGCAGAACATGTGCCTGGGCAGTGCCACGCTCACCGCAGGAAGCAACCGCCTAACAAAGGACTAAAGAAAAGACACAAGGACGGACAGAGAGACTGAGAGACAGACAGAGGGACAGATGAAGAGACAGAGGGACAGGGGGACAGACAGACGGAGAGACAGAGGGACAGAGGACGATGGAGGGAGCAAAGAAAAAACAAAGAGGAGTGGACAACCAGATCAATTTGTAGAGTTTAGGGACCGTTTGTTATTTATTGGGGGGGGGGCCTTACAACTGAAAATGGCTGTATCTTGTATTTACCACCCTGCAGCTTTGGAAGGGATGTTTTCTTCAAAAATGTGGGTGATTTTTTTTTCTTTAAAGTGCTGGAAATTTTTAAAGAAAATGTTCATGTTTTCTCTAAAATTTTTCATTGTTTTTTTTTCTCTCTTTGTTTTTAATTTTTGCTTTTCTTCAAAAATGTGGGTGAACAAAAACCCAGAAATTATTATCAGATTTTCTGACGTCAGACGCTCCCTCGACACATCATGTGTATCAAACACTTCACGAGTGAATGGATTTTCCTCCTCTGATAAGTAAAGAACAGTCCCTAAACAACAGCCTGGTGAAAAGCCTCTCAGACTTGTGGCAGTTTAAGTTTGGTGTTTTAAAGATCAACAGTTTTCACAGAATGAATTTAAAGTTCTTTAAATGTGACAGCTGTGCAGGAGTTTCCTCAGATGTGCCTCACAGTGTCATTTAAAAACATGTGAAGCAGTCAGAGACGTCCGAACGCTGCTGGTAAATGGTAGGAGAGCGATGGAAAAGTAACGCAGAGTGGAGTTAGGCTTTTGGAAAATGGACTAGGACAGCATCAATAGAGGTGGACTGATCCAAAATACAGATTAACAGCAGACCTGGGTCATAATTTGCAAATATTCCCTGCGGTTGGTCTACTTTTGGTCTACTTGAAAGTTCTTGTGGCAAATGCAATAAGGAGCTGTCTTTGCTTTGTTTAGTCAAGATTGAAATAGGTTTGGCTGCTGCGCCTGCTGGTTTGATTCTGGCCCGCTGCCTCCTGGAGCAGCTTTACAGACTCTCTCTGTCATGAGACTCCATTTGTCTCCTGTCTTTATTCCTTTGTCTTCATCAGGGAGCGACGGCCTGCTTAGAAACAGTCCTGATGTTCAGGCGGTTATACTCTGTGTGTGTGTGTGTGTGTGTGTGTGTGAAAGGCTTCGACGCAGCACCACATCACATATTACATTACTATTTAGCGCGGTGTGAATCGGAGCACTTGAGTGCAGAGCAGGCAGGTTGATGAACCAAGGACTAAAATAATTAAACACAATGAAGGCCACGTGAAGAGGCTGCGCTGAATTAAAGTGTCACAAGATGGACGAGTAATTAAAAAGATCAAGTTAAATAAGAACAACAGGAGGACGTGTGGATGTGAACACGCTGCTGCTGCTACTACTGCTGCTGCTGCTACTGCAGCCTCGTGCTGCTGCTGCTGAATGTATATTTCTAAATTTAAGAGACACCCGACTCTTTTTGTTCCGCCTGGTCTCTCCTCCTCTTGGCGTGTGCATTGCCGTGGTAACGCTCCAAACATGGCTGTTTTTTTTTATCCACACCGTATTGAGCTCATTACCACAGTTACAACTCGCCTACCGCCAACGCGGCCTGCCTCCAGCTGACCCGCAACCGTTTACTGTCTCCTCCCGGACCAATCAAGTTTGGCAGCCTCTTCCACCCCCCCAACCCCCGCCCCCCCCCCCCCCCCCCCCCCCCCCCCCCCCCCCCCCCCCCCCCCCCCCCCCCCCCCCCCCCCCCCCCCCCCCCCCCCCCCCCCCCCCCCCCCCCCCCCCCCCCCCCCCCCCCCCCCCCCCCCGCCCGCCGCCCCCCCTCCTCCTCCCAGCGTTCCCTCTCTCTTCCTATTTCCTTCATCTCTTCTTCTTCAGACTTCACTGTGTGCGATAGAGCTGTCAGTCAGCCCCACTCTCCTTTTCACGATCCCTCCTATTCATAGCTCTTCACACTTGCCGCCACCCCGGAGGCTCCAGCCCAAACACTCAGACACTCAACAGTCTATTTGCAGGTGCCAGAGCGGCCTTTGTAGTCAACATTATTATAATGTCGCTAAATCATTCAGGCTTCAAACACACCAACGTTACGGCGACCTTTAATCAAGACTTGGAAGCGTCTGAGCTGTCGGTGTAACGGGCTCCATCCTACAGCCAACATAAACTTCTATACAACCATTTCCTCCCTGGTCACCTTCCTGCAGACTCTCTCCGCTGCACCAACTTTACTCAACAGGCTCAATACATTTCTCTTTAGCGGCCTCGGTACATTCAACACCCTCACATTCATACATCTGGTCAGTTTCAAACTGTGCAAGAGGCGAGAATGAGTCAAGAAATGTTCAAGAAACAAAGCTGCTGAATTTAAACAGGCTGAAACAAAATGAAATGACGATAACGTCTGCTCACTTCTGGTCACAAATAAATTTAACCTTCACTTTCTGAGTCCATCTGCTTTCTGTTTTTCTGCCTCAAGTCTTAGAGACCAAAATAAATATATATATATTTTTTAATTTCAAATTTGCGACAGTGTCCAAAATCCTGCAACAAAGACTGTCAAACCTGCCAGCTGTTTTCAGTCGTGGAGAAATCAGTTCACTTGTTTATCTCTGTCGTCACTTTAGCTGTAGCAGATAAAGATATGAAGCTAAACGTGGTGTCCGACCTGACAGACATTACTGTGATGCTTTGCTAGCATCTCTGATACATCTAGAAATAAAAGGTTTTAAATGTGAAGATCTGAGTTGCAGTACAAGAGGGGAGAATAAATCACAAAGGATTAAACTGACCAATAAAAACTCTGCAAGATAAAACAGTTTAATAAACAAGAACAAAATAAAATGACTGATAAACAGTGAGACAATAAACCTCTGTTCACTCTGACTTCTGATGGCAAACCAATTTTCTATTGACGGGAAGCTTCATTACAATTCTTTTACATGTTTAAATACTTTGTGTTTGGTGAAGTTATTTGTCAAATATCTCACGGACCAAAATACTTTAAATTTAAACTTCTTGCAAAGTGTCCAAAATCCAAACCACGTCCCGCTAACAACATCAATCACATCAGGGTAGAAAACTGGAAATTGTTTTTAACTGCGAAGTTATTTGAAATCAGCAAACTTGTATATTTCTATTTCCAAGTTGAACCTGCAACAGATAAAGATATAAAATCAACACGGTGGTTGACTGCGGAGCTCGACGATGTCCTGCTGTGGACGAAACATATTTTAGACAAAAATCTGTTTACGCTACATTTGAAATATTTTCACTGGCTGGAGGCGGCGGGTGTCTTCTGCTAAATAAATGTGTGTTAATAAGTGTTTGTGTCAGTGTAGTCTGGTGGCGTTTAAATAACAGGAAGGTAGAACTGTGACAATACGCTAAATACAGTTTACACTGATATGGACGTTTTCTTTTTTTAGGTGGTTAAAACTCAATCAGCTGGGGCAGCTGTCTGTTCAGTTACTGAACACAGACACTGTGACTGGGTCTGACGGATCAGCTGACGGCTTCAGAGGATTACAGCAGGTTTCAGTCAACTGTGTCCCATCATGCAATGCTCCCAGTTTACAATCAGCTGTGGAGTGACTGTTTACATCCCAGCTTCATCTGAAGTGAGGAAACAGTTTGTGCTGCTTCTTCTGTGGTGTATAGCTCGACCTGCACTCCATCTGCCATTACCTGCCACGTTCACCTCTGCTGGAGACAGGAAACGGTTTTCTCTCATGTTTCATGTAAACTTTACGGAGCTCCTGTGCAGAGCTGTCGCACATTTCTAAGATAAGCTCTACATGTTGTCGACTGAGCCGCAGTGAAGCGTCTGCAGGAACACATCCTGGATTGAATGTTTTCAGCTGAGTAACATGACAGGCTCTGAAAAACTTGGTGCTTTCCTTTCAGTGGCTTCAGGGAGTGTTTTGTGGCTGTTTAGATGAAAAAAAAAATGCACAAGCTTCAGCGCACACATACGCGCGCACACATAAACATGCATGTGCACACCCACACAGTCACACACAGTGGCTATTTCAGTGAGCTCTGGCAGCCGCGGGCCAGCTCGAAGCAACGAAAGCGTAAGGTGATACTCAACAATGCCACTAACTGGCCAGGCCTCTCGTCTGTACACCAGCTATAATGACATTAACATGGCCAAGGCCTGAGCAGAGCCAGGACACACACACACACACACACACACACACACAAAAGACTAAAGGATCACTTTACGCTCTCAGAGAAACATTCATGTCGTCTGTGCTTAAAATGAACTCTGTGGGACAAAAATACACAAACAGAGTGAAATCAGCACAAACACACACTGAGACGTCGAATCAGCGACAAACAGCTCAGCGTCCTGCGTCACACTGAGATACAGCAGTGATCTGATTCCCTCCTGACGCACCGTGTGAGCACAGTGCCATAAAACAGAAGGGCCTGGACGAGGCTTCAAAGTTTCTGAGTAACAAATTTATTGGACCGACAGAAAACAACACAGAAATCCAAGGTAAAGAAAACGAGGCGGCATTGCTGCCTCCCGAGTTGGAGCGGCTGAGTCACACTCTCACTATCCAGCAAGTTCCATCCATGAATTGTTTAAGACAGAGCAAAGCCTCTGAGCGCTGCAGAAAGAAGACAAACTATGTATTTAAAGCTAAAAGAGAGAAAGAAAGAGTCTTTGAGCTGCTGTTGTCAGGGAACCAATAACAAACTGACAACAAACAGCGAGGCCTGCTGTCGTCCTCCGACCGGAAACAATTACTTTGAGACTTTCCAAATGAGCTTTTTATTAGGAGGCATGGAGCTATAAACCAAATTACTGCACTGCTTTGGTTTTGTTCTTATAAAGTTGGAAAATATAGAGCTGGGAAACACACAGGGCTCTCCCTGAAACACACACCTTGGTCTGTCGTCATCTCACACTCAACTCGCTGCAAAACGCTCCTTAAAGCTCAAACTTGTTTCTCCAGACCTGCAGCAGACAACTCAAATTAAATCTTAATAAACAATTTATTGGTATAGGCTGTTGTATAATTTATATTTAGCAGTTGCTCAGTGTTTACCAGCATAATGACTTCTAAAAACATTGGCAGGGGAGTGGGCAGAAGTACAGCACACATATATTTTGCCAGATTTTGGATGTTTTGCGCAAACAAGTCAGAAACATTCAAAACAGCCTATCCTTGAAATGCACCAATCATGACCTACTTGGGGTTGATGGGTTCAAAGTCTCCACCCCTAAAATATTCATGAGTTCCTCTCCTCCTCCTCCTCCTCCTCATCCTCATCTTCACAAGCAACATGGGATCAATTGCGCAGGAGAGCCGGTCTAATCATGTTCCCTGTTTTCCTGAACGTCTGATCCCTGGAATCTGTGATTGGCCGATCAGACTGATTGAAGATGTTTTGGAGTGCAGACGTCCCTCTGGATATAAGATCCTGGTACAAAGGCCCTGTCTCCTCCCGCCCAGAGGGCGAGAGATGAGCAAGGAGGGGGAGGGGGGAGGTCCCTTCCCCCAGAAAGGCCCTTTAATTGGGCTAAAACCCCGAGGCCGGGATCCCCCCTCCAGGGCCAGAGGAGAGCTGGACTCTATTACACACACACACACACAAACACACACACACTAATGCTAACACCGGCTCTGCTCCCAAAAAACACCCACTCAGTCTCAGTTGAGGCACACGCACACACACAAACACACACACTCTCTCTCACACACGCCAAAACCATCACTTGTCATTGGCCCAGCTGCTCCCTCTTCAAAGCTGTTGGCTTCTGGGTGGCCGTGGAGATGAGAGGAGAAAAGAGAAGTCCTCAAGAGCTGCAGCTCGAGCCAAATAACACCAAATATCATCCATGAACCTTCTTCACACTCAGACACAAGCTGAGCACAGAGCTGCAGCACACTGGAGAAAATCAGAGCACATCCACAGAAATGTGTCCGTGCACACAGC